GAGTTACACTTGTATACCTGTTAGTACTGGAAGCTGCTGCGGGCATGTTCGGAGCCCTTGCGGAGCGTATCGTATAACGTCCAATACTTCTAGAAGTCTCCCTTGGCGATGGTTTTGAGTTCACGTCAATCAAAAGAGCTCAAGGCGTATGTGATTTATCCACTCATTCTATAGATATCTGGGAATATTAAAAATAACTATTATACCCCGGGTAGATGATACGTACGCCACTTCCAATAACCTAACCGCTATCATGTTTGGCTTGTATAGTGCAAGCAATAACTCAATCTCTAGTCAATGTCGAACAGTTGGGAAATGCAATAATTGGAATACGAGAATAAGGGTTTTAGGGCCTGTACTAATCCTCAATTTAACAATTTCATACTGCGGTGATAACCTAATTACCTCTGATTACATCCAGTGCAGATTTGAGAGCAGCAGTTATATTAAGAAGCGCTCATAAGACACTAGCATACATACTACAGAAAAAGTGCAAGTAACCGCAGAAAAGCCCTTTCAAAGTAGGGCAACTAGATCGTAAGACCTGACCTATGTTAAACAGCTGATATGGATGTCCTATGTAAAGTGGTGCTTGCATGCACTTCGTTCACTTCCGTATTTTTGCCGTATTGAAGATTGTCCTACCAATCGCTCATCATGTACAAATGCTGGATACAAATTCAATTGCTATTTCACCCCTTGTAGCGTCTGGATTATATGGTTTTAGGATTTTCACTTTAGCATGGAGAGCATGGTGGGGCTTATCAATGTACTTATGACTTGAAATTGGAGGAGTATTTCTATAGGGCAAGCATTGAAACTTCGTTCTTCAATTGGGGAGGGTGTCAACATACGCCTGAAGCCAGTGATTTGTGGTAAATTTTAATCGAAAAATTTCAACGTACTCCTTGTGAGAGAGGAATCGGTGATTATTTATTGAACAACTTGTTTATATAACATATGTGCTTAAATCGGTTTGTAGTACTAATCGGCAAACCACTTAAACCTACCTAATCACACTATCAGGGTACCACAGCTTTTGTGTAGACCTGAGTCTTGGTTATCGTTAATCACACGGAATATAGACACTACTAGCACTAATAGCTTGTTTGAGGATGAAAGATTTCTCGACGGTGTGATTGTGAGGAAAAGCTCATCAAACCTTGGGGTACGAAAATCTGTGATCTTTTTGGAGGGCAAAACTGAAGGCTAATGAAGCTATGACTTATTGATGGCTTTGGGCAGCAAAAGGGAATATTTTTGAAGAGCAGGCGATAGGAATGAAGCGATTATTTGAAGGTGCCAAATTTCCAAATTGAAATTCAATTAAAGCATATAGAGATAGTAGAAGTCAGTCATGGCGAGTAGGCCATTATTTACCGTGTCAGTAATCGAAGGCACTGGTAGATTTAAGGGAGTGGGTATTGCTTAGACACACAAGATTGTGCCAATATCTCAATCAGCCCCACGATGAGTACATAGTGAGAAACAATCTGGTTTCGCGCAATTTTTTAATATAATCACACAGCGGCTGTACATCACCGGCTTTTGACATTTGTGATAAGTAACATGTATTCAATTCGGCCTGCAATCGACAACAGAACTCTCCCTAAAACAGGTGAGGTGCCAGTACTCAAAAGTTAAAAAAATTATCGAGTATCGTTGAGAGATCGTTACAGCAGACGCCGTCGACAATCCTCACCAAAATATCGACATCGATGGCAAAAACGGCCACTTAGTGTAATGTTAGCACAACATTAGCCGTGCTTTATTCGGCAAGTCCCATGGATGTTGTGCATATTCATTTCAGCCCTGGATCTGTAGTTAGACCATACGAAAGGATCAGGCTGGGATCTGTTACTACAACCTACTCACGTCGTTTGCTAATCGGGTCTTTATTTTGCTTCCCTATCTCGACATTACGAAACTTTGAGTTCATAACTTTTCTGCCTGTTTCTACAGATGAATTTCGCTTCACAAAAAGTTCAACGACCGACTCAAGTCGTGGCATCCGAACTATATCGACATCTTTCTGCTCCAGTCAGAAAAGAGCTTTCATCAGCGCAACCAAGAGATTTTCAGCGATCGCGGCGAAGTTGGGTCTCGGTTCACCCAAAGTTAGCGTTTCGAAAGGATACGGACATAAAAAGTTGCCGTCGATTACAGATTTCCGGGTTACAATCAGGATATCCCTGATCAGCGCCACCGACTACAAGACACCTAAAGAATTGCTCAGCACGTTCGATAACAGTTTTTGTGCTGTTGATTGCATGTTCACAGAGGATCGCAAGGTCCGATTCTGTTTTGGCAAGGACGATGGTGACTTCACTCCCGCCAAGGACGTCTTTGATGGCAACGGTCATCTTCGCAACCCAAACGTCAAGACAGGTGGTAGAATTCAGAAATACTTTGGCGCGGGTACACGTTTGCTAATGCATCACACGCTCTGCAAGCTGAGTATCCAAAGGCAATGGTGACCAAGGACTCAAAGCGTCACCACAAGAAGCACTCCTTCTTCAGGAGTCATGTTTTATAATCAACGTTTCGCTCGTCACACATACAAACACACTTAAGCTTCCGTCAGCCGATCCTCTATTGAAATTGACATTTATTTGCATGGGTATGTACAACCTCGCATGTTGGTGTTCACCAGCATTCCAGTACAACGTGCGATTTGGTTTTGAATCCTCATCCGCGACGTTTAAGCATTCGACTCTTAAACTAAATCATTAAGATTTTCCTTTTCACTCTTATTAATAATTATCGGTCAAACCTCCAGGTTTTCGTGTACTTTGGAATAT